AACAATAAATACAGCATTCTCAACAGAAAAAAAAAAAAACAACCAAGAAGCAACAGGCTGAGAAAATATATTTATAAAACTAAACATGGCCTGGCTGGTATGGCTCAGCAGTTGAGCGTTGATCTATGAAACAGGAGGTCACGGTTCGATTCCTGGGCGGGCATATGTCAGGTGATCAATGATTCTCTCTGAGCATTGATATTTCTATGTCTCTCTCCCTCTCCCTTTATCCCGTAAATCAATAAAAAATATCTATCTATCTATATATATCTAAAAGGCTAGGATGCAAAGCGTCCCCTCAGGAATTCTACCGGGAGACCGGGAGTTTGATCACTCACTATGACATGCGCTGACCACCAGGAATCGAAGCAGAATGAAGGGAGGCCCCGCTGGAAGCTGGCATCTGGGGAAGGAAGCCCCCAGCCAGCAGCCAGGGAAGGAACCCCCTAGCCGGCACCTAGCAGTCAGGAAAGGAAGGCCCTGACCTGTAGCCGGAAGGCCCGATTGGCCCTGATTGCCAGCCAGACCTTGGGACCCTATCCGTACATGAATTTTGTGCACCAGGCCTCTAGTATATATATATATAAAACGCTAAGTAACAAACCGTACATCCATATGACCATCCAGTTCATATGACATACACTGGCAATTGAAAAATAAATGTTCACCCGTGCATGCGTGATATTTGTCCCCATCTGACACTGGCCTCCCATTTAAATTAATTCGAAGACAGTTTCGTGTGATGCCAGCATTTGTGATGGCTATTAATAAATCACAAGGACAAACTAGACAGAGTAGGAATATTCCTACCTGAATTCGTTTCCGGACATTGTCAGTCATATGTTGATTTCTGTGGAGTTCAAAGAGCCTGTGACGTTAAAGTTGTAAATACTTCATCACAAGGATAATTAGTCAAACACTCTCAAAGTGTTTTTTATCCTTAAATGTGTTTTTTTTCTCTTAAATGATTGCCATCTTGTTAGGTGTTTTGTGGTAATTCACTCTTTAATGTGGTATACAGTGCGATACTAGAATGAGGTTAATCACTTTATCATTCAATGTTTGTATCAATGCTATTTTAATAACATGTTTTTGTTTTTTTTACATCATATTTTGTTGCTTTTATCTTAGTTCTTTGTGGTTCTTATATGATGTTGTTACTGTTTACTTCATTAATCAATTTATATATTATTTTCATATACATTTTACTCATTTTCTTTCATCTCAGACACTTCTATTATAGAGAAAGGGAGATACTAAAATATCCCTCCTAATTAATTTCCTTTCAATGTGCATGAATCTGTGCACCAGGCCATTACATTAATAAAAAAAAAGTAAACACGTACAGGATAATTATGCAAAACAGACAAAGAAACCTTTCAACTCAACATTGACAAAAGAACCAACATGTCTGAAAAGGGCCAAATACCTTTAAGGCACAGCACTACAAAATATATACACATAGAAAATCAGTGTAACAAGATCCTGCACATCTTAGGTCACTAAGGAAATGCACATTAAAACAATGAGAACAAACAAACAGCACAGGCAAGCAACACTAAACCACCATTGTACAGGTCAGAATCCAGAACACTGATCCCACGAAATGCTTTGTGATGGTTGAGCAACTGGAACTCCAATCACTGCTGCTGAAAATACCAAATGCTACAGCCCTTGTGGAGATGGTCTGGAGGTTTTCATAAAACTAAATATACACTCACCATGGGATCTAGTAACTGGGCTCCTTACTATTGAACCAAAGAGTTAACCTTTTTATCTACTCAAAAGCCTACAAGGGGCTGCTTATTCATAATTTACAAAAGCTGGAGACAATGAAGGTCTCTCAACACGTGAATGGATAAATACACTAAAGGACATACAATGAAGTCTTATTCACTACTATAAAGATATAATACAGCCCTAACCGGTTTGGCTCAGTAGATAGAGCATCAGTTTGCGGACTGAAGGGTCCCAGGTTCAATTCCAGTCAAAGGCATGTACCTTGGTTGCAGGCACATCCCCAGTGGGAGATGTGCAGGAGGCAGCTGATCGATGTTTCACTCTCATCAATGTTTCTAACTCTATCTCTCTCCCTTCCTCTCTGCAAAAAATCAATAAAATATATTTAAAAGACAAAAAAGATTTAATACATCAAGCCATGAAAAGACATGATAGAAGCCTAGATACATAGAACTAAATGAAAGAGTCCAATCTGCCTGCCCAGGTAGCCCACTTGCTTAGATTATAGTACTGATGTACTAATGTTGTAGGTTTGATCTCTGGTCAGGGCACACACAAAAAAATCAATTAATGCCCAGCTGAAGTTTCTATCTCTAACTCTCCCTTCCTCCCTGAAATAAACATGATCTTGCCCTAACCAGTTCGGCTCAGTGGATAGAGTGTCGGCCTGCAGACTCAAGGGTCCCAGGTACGATTCTAGTCCAGGGTATGTACCTTGGTTGCAGGCACATACCCAGTAGGGGGTGTGCAGGAGGCACATGATTGATGTTTCTCTCTCTTCGATGTTTCTAACTCTCTATTCCTCTCCCTTCCTCTCTGTAAAAAAATCAATAAAATATATTAAAGCAAACAAACAAAAAAAACAACAGGGGGTCCAGTTGGCGGCGAGCAGTCAGGCATCCCCCGAGGAGTCCCAGATTGGAGAGGGTGCAGGACAGGCTGAGGAATTTCGTGCACCGGGCCACCAGTATATACCAATAAAAGGATATTATACTCATTAGACCAGGAGACCTTCTGGACAAAGCCATGGTGGCGGGGTTGAGGCAGAAGCAGTTAGTGGTGATCAGGCCAGGTGGGAAGAGTAGTTGGGGTGAGCAGGCCAGCAGAGGGGACAGTTGAGGATGAGCAGACTGACGAGGGGGGGCAGTTGGGGGCGAGCAGGCCGGC